AGTATTAAATATTAATTTAGAATAAATATTATAAATATAAGTAATAGAAAATTATATTTTGTATTATAAAAATTTAATCAAAGTATTACAATTCTGATCTATTCGCGAAGCGAGCTCATTAGTAAATGACGACTTTCTCGCAACTTGTCTCGTATTTATATAAAATCATAATAATCGTTATGAAAAGCGAATGTATTTCGTTTATATATTAAAACTAACTTTTCGAATATATGGATATTATATAAATATAATAATTTATCAATTTTTATATTTTTATTGTTAATAATGATTGTAACAATTTATTGCAATTAAAAATTGATATATTAAACTGTATTTATATGATTAAAATGTATTTATATGATATTATTTTTCTATTTTTTGTATTTTTTTTATAATTTTATTTATTATTTATTTTTTTATTTTTTATTTATTATTATTTATTATTATTTCATATAGTTTATTTACCTATTATTATTTATTATTTTATCTATTTATTTATTGATTTATATATTCATTTATTTATTTATCTATTTAATTATTAATTAATTTATTTATTTATAAAATTATCAATTCGTTTATTAAATATCTCATTGTTAAAGTGAGAAGAAAATAAGAATTAACTGTTAGCGCCATCTTTTTGTGTTGCAGATAAAACAAATATAAACAAGGAAAGAGAATAGTTAAAGAAAGACAGAGATATATTAAAAATATTGAAATCAGCGCCATCTTCAGAGTGCCACAAATGAAACTCATAAAGAAAGGACGGAAAATAGTGGAAGAAGGATAGATATAATAAGAATTAACAGCTAGCGCCATCTCCCATATTTTAAAAGTACTTCTTTGGAATTATTCTTCCAAAAAATCTTAAAAGATGGCGCTTATTGTCAATTCTTTCTACCTTATTTTTGATGAAATACTTTTAGGAATTTTCAAAAGATGGCACTTATTGTCAATTCTTCTTTATTTTCTACCTTATCTTACTTTTGATGAAATGCTTTTAGGAATTATCAGAAGATGGCGTTGATAGC